TGATACAAAACATACAGTGTCTTGGACTTGACACAAAACATACAGTGTCTTGGACTTGACACAAAACATACAGGGGCTTGGACTTGACACAAAACATACAGTGTCTTGGACTTGACACAAAACATACAGTGTCTTGGACTTGACACAAAACATACAGGGCTTGGACTTGACACAAAACATACAGGGGCTTGGACTTGACGCAAAACATTGACTCAAATATGATGAAAACAAAACTCGGACTTAAAATTCCATAGCACAAAGGCATATCGGGATTCTCATTGGTTCGTAAATTCTTATTTTTATGCCAAAACTGGAATAAGACAACACTTCTACTTTACTTTAGTTCTGATAAGAGTCTCGATGTGAATAAAGATTCATATATGGTGGACATCTGTGCATTGTAGCTCAAAGGAGGAAAGAATTAACCTACGATTCTTGGAAAACCTGGGACATGGTATTGATGAGTAGATAAGCTTAGAGTAGTTGAAGTGAGCTGGGTCTCACTTTGTCCAAAAGACTGCTAAGAATTTATGGTTTTGGATTCTGGACTTATGAGGAATGTGAGGTGTGTACAATGTGTTGTTTTCTATAAAGTGGATATTCTCTAAACTCTATGAAGACCCGTGACATCATGTAAACATTAGTAATTACATCAGCTAAGGTGTGAACTACCTGTACTGTTCAGTATGCGGGTTGGGTGTAAAGAATAGGCTTAGTGGCGGCACGCACGCACACACACACACACACACACGTTCACACTCTCTGGATACTAATGAATTATCTTTTAACAAGTGATAACATACATGAAGTATGATGGTCAGCAAGTATAAGACATAATACACTATATATTACACTTGTTATTCTGTGCAAGAATTTGTATGGAATTGCCTTTGAGTAATCACTGAGGTTATGGAACCTTTCTGGAGTAATGACAAGATCTTGCTTGAGGCCAAGTTCATTTTAATAATGTCCTGATTGACACACAAAGTCTGTGATTTGCCTGTACACGTTTCCATTGTATCACTTTAAACTTTCGTTGTTTTTGCCACGTACATAAAGTAAACATACAGTACATAAGGTAATGAGGTTCTAATAAACTCTTAATGGAAAAGTTTAGCCAATTTTGAACTAGTATCTTATGTTTATATTTTCTGTAGTAATTTTTTAATATTTCAGTGTACAGTAATCTTTTGAAACTTCACATAAATGGTATATGGATGATGATATTGTGCTTGAGGTATTGTTTGGCAATCAATAAAAATTTTTTCCACAAAATAATACCTTATGAGCTATGCTAGCTTACTCATATTATCAGTTTGTTCAGGGAGCTTTTTTCATTGAATACAGTGAACCCTCACTTTATGCGGTTAATTCAACCCACGGCGGCCCGCGTAAAGTGAACAACATAACATATGGGATTAATTGAAATAGAGACCGGGCCGACCCCCAAACTCCACTTTTTCCCGACACAATACGTACGTTTTACTAAAAATAACCTCTTAACTTTATGATGGTATTCACCCACACATAATATAGAAGGGAACAGTCAATAAGAGAAGAATAAACTGAAGGTTAGGTTAGAAAAAAACAAGGCTGGGGTTAACACTTACTTTTATCCTCTTCCTCTACGTTAGTAGAAGAGATGGGTTGGCGTAGGGGAATGGAGGCTGGTTCCGAGGCAGAGGGCAGGCTACTGGCCCTCAGGTGAGTCTTCATCGGTGTCATCCACACTTACTAGTGCCTCCCTGACAAATCCCTCAAAGTCATCATCACTGTCTCTACCTCTGTCACTATCACTGGCTTGGGCTGGCTGTGGTGGGTTGCGGGCGAAGAACTCTGTTATGCTTTGCTGATTGCTGGTGTTTATGTTGTCATGATAAACCTTGATGTAGGGCTCCATAGTCTGCAACAGCTGGGTAGTGAAGATTTCATACCTGTTTGCGTCAGGGTCGTCGGAAAGGAGGAGCTTGGCTTTCTCGATACACTCGATGACACCCCTAACATTACTATGGGATAAGCGGCGTTCTTCTTGGGATGACGCACCACCTGCCTCTTCACTGACGTCATCATCATCTACCATGTCGTCGGTATTCACATCAGGATCCCTTATCACCTCCAGGATGTCGTCGTTGGTGGTCTCGGAGAAGCCTGCAGCTGTAACAGTCTGCGCAGCTTCTCTGGCAAGGTACACTGCTACTGCAACAGTCTGAACCTCACCAGTCACAGATTTACTCTGCCTAACGCCCGGAATGCCTTGCAACACATGTCTCCATGCGTGACGAACAGTTGCTACAGACAGCTGATCCCATGCCTCCACCAAGAAGTCCACAGCTTTCTTGACGTTGAATGTTCTCCAGAATTGTTTTAAAAGTACTTCTTGCTCTGCCAACTGTTGATCCTCGTCGTCTTCGCTCTTGCTATCGGTGTTGGTGTCACTCAGGTTACGCAACTCTTCCTTGGTGTTGGTGTAGTCGTTCAGGAGCTTGAATTTTTTAGTAGAGAATGCAGCTTTTACATTACAGATTAACTCTTGGTCCATGGGCTGTAATATAGACGTAGTGTTGGGAGGAAGGAAGACCACTTTTACGTTGGGGTGACGATCTAACAGTAGGGGCGAGTGTCCTGGTGCGTTGTCCAGCAGCAACAAAATCTTGAATGGCACATTCTGTTGCTCACAGAATTTCTTCACACCGGGAACGAAACAGTCATCAAACCAGGAGAGGGACAGTGTAGAGAACATCCACGCTTTACGTGTGGTCAGCCAGTGGACATTTAGCTTGGTCATGTCCATGCTCTTGTAGGCGTGCGGCTTACGTGCTGTGTGGATCACCGATAACTTGAGCTTACAGGTACCGGAGGCATTGGTGGTAAACAGGACGGTGATGCGCTCCTTTTGCAACTTCCGGCCCTGACACTTGCTGGCATTCTTCACAATGAAGGTCTTGGAAGGTAGTTTTTTCCAAAAAAGACCAGATTCGTCCATGTTAAACACCTGGTCGTCGGTGTACTGTCCTTCCTCCATAATCTCACGTAAAAACGGAGGAAATTCCCTAGCCGCAACACGGTCAGCACTAGCTTCTTCACCACCAATGTTGATATTGGTGATCTTGTTTCTCTTCTTAAACCTCTGTAACCACCCAGAGGAAGCATTAAAGGGTTTGGGCTCTGTAATTCCCATCTTTCGTGACACTGCAGCATACAGTTCACGTGCGTACTCCTTAACTGAGTGCGTGTCCACCGCCATGTTCCGTCGCGCCTGACGCACCAAGTAGCTCACAAGTAATTTTTCTGTCTTGAGAAGCACCTGGTTGTGGCAATACTTGATCATAGAAGCACCTGTAGACTTTGTGATGTTCATGTGCTCCTTTATCTTGGCTGCTGGCGTGCAAGATCAACCTGTCTTGTTCCTTTCTCCAACTCTTGTATGATCTTATACTTAATTTCGTAGCTTAAGAAACGTCGTCTCTTCTTTGGCTTAGGGCGGCTGGGTCCAGGTAAGGAAAGGTTTCTCTCTGGGGGCGGTGGTCCGGCGGAAGCCATTTTACAGAACAATGGAATCACGTATACACGGTGTGGCCTGGAGGAATGAAACTGCCGCGGCTAGGTCAAGCGTCGTCTTTCCTCCCTCCCTCCCGCGGGTGGACACGTCATATTACTTTAAACCAATCACAGCTAGCAGCGGAGGGAGGTAAGGATGCATGGCCCAATTACAGTCCGATACGTCATATGACGTCACTGATAACGCAACAAAGACACACACTGCGCAACCTACTCGTGCCGCTTACACAACATGGCGGATGGCGGGAGAGGGCGGGAGGTTTGGATCCAAAAATGGCGCGGCTCGCCAGCCGCTCTCCGCGTAAAGGGGTACGTGCACTGCGGAAAGTGAGCGTTCCGGTTTCGGCAGGGTACCGCGTAAACGTGGAAACGTGTAAAGTGGGACCGCGTAAAGCGAGGGTTGACTGTACCTTGTTTTACAGTATCATTCAACAGTGGCCTTTGAGAGGATGGATATATCACAACTATGTCATTGACTCATTAATAACAATTACAAATATATCCATGTCCATTAATCAGCATCACTAACAAGGTATTGACGCTGATGCCACCAAGGGGGAGGAAACCTTAACCTTACTGATCATCACACATATTCCAAGGAAATTCGTCACTATATTTTGACAGAAGAATCAACAAACTGAGAATGTTTATATTCTTCACATGCAGTAAATCATAAATTTACAGCCTAAATAATACTGGAGATTGACAATTTATTTTGCAAGATGTGTGACATGGTCGAGACTGGGGTGGAGTTACATCAATTGAGTGATTTCCTAACACTGTAGGGCAGATGGAGACCAAGGTTCTATTCTTGCCTTTCAATAATGACTACAAGCATGTGTACCTGTGAGGAAATTTTCCCTTTATACTACATGTGAACCTTAATGCTTGACCAATTAAAATTTTTAATGCAACGTGTTCTTAAATCCAATATGTTTTAGTAATGATAATCCTGATAAGATATACTGGACCCGATCAGTGAATATTATATATTAATGAATAAGTTATGAAAAATCTTAATTAAGGCTATAGGTTTGAACCTTGATGATAGACATGAATGGTGAATGATCTTTATTGTAGTATGTGTTAAATCTCCGTAACATTGAGGTCCATATTACCTACACGCGTGGGTCACTGTATGAGCTGAGATATTCCTCCCCGTGGTGCTGGTGTCAGCATCTTACCCTCTCCATGATTTCATGTTCAACAAAAGTTAACTGATAACTTCTCATTATTTTAAAGTAAATTTCTTAAATCAAGCAACATGCAGTGGTAATGTAAATTTCCTGTAATTGTATTTACATGATTTGATTTCCCCCACACCCCTTGCTAATTTACACAATATTGTCTAGGTGCTCCTTAATTTGTATAATAAATACCGGACATAGAATGAAAGATGAAAGGGGTCATGTTCAGTGGGAAAACTTAATGGAAGAATTCACTACTTGCTGACCATTTTATTGGCACAAAAAGCATACTATATCATAGCATGAACAGATAGGAGGGTAAAATACAGAAGAGAATACAATTGGATGAGATATTAACTTACCAGGGTGTGTGTGGTGGCCAGTGAAGTGGCATGGCCACCAAAAACCCAAGACAGTGCAATTTCAGGAACAAGAGGCAGCCATCCTGGCACTTGCATGAGAGTTGACCAAATATACCACCCCTCTGCACTTTCAATAAATAATTCTAAACCTAAAGACTACTTTTAAGTGTAAAAAAGGTGAGCCAATTACCAATGACTAATGAGGTATGGGGTACCCACAATCCCCATGTTTTACATATTGTATATGAATTTTCAATGAGACTAAAAGAATAACGTGAAAACGAGAAAGAAAAAATTGCCAGCACGGGCTGGTAACACCACACACACTCACACACACATGACATCATAACTTAGACACGAATGTGGTCCACTAACTCTCACACAGGAATGTTTTCATTCTACAAGTTAACTGTAACATTTTAGACAAAGCCAATTGAGTGCAACACTCGCAGTTTTCATGACTAAATATTTTTTGCTTAAGCAAACTTGGGTATATAAGGACAAACTCTTCAGCAACTACTGAAGAGAGGTGTTACAGGTAATTCTTGTTCATGCTACACTTGTATATAACTTAAAGGTTAAAACCCTCTATAAGAGAGTTATATATTTGTCATTTTCACACACACACATATATATATATATATATATATATATATATATATATATATATATATATATATATATATATATATATATATATATATATATATATATATATATATATATATTTATATTTATATTTATATATATATTTGCCCCGTCCAAAGACAGCAGCGTTTTGTCATTAGATTCACCCTCACAACCGACAGTGTTGCAACTCTTGTTGAGATATTTCATTACTGTATATTGACAATAATAATGTTGCCTCGTACAACATCAGTTTACATGAATAGTTTTTCACAATATCAAACTCGGAAAACAATTGAAATATCTCCCCCGTTTTCAACAGTATCGCTTATGGGATCAGAATTAGTAAAGTAACTATAACACTATACTAAGGTTATGTTGGTGTTTAGTAAGCGCCCAGAGAGAGGGTCGTGTGCAGTAGAGGATATCGTCACATCTTCTCGTCCATAAGTCAGGTATTCTTCCCATAATGGAGTAGGGGGTGATCTTCTCTCCACATCTACACCTTCTTTGTATTTGATTCGCTTCTTCCTTCTTCTCCTCCTCGGAGTTTGCGTTCATTTTAGAAGCTGCCATGACTTGTGGCAAGAAGGATATAACCTCTCGCCACTTCCTTTGGTGTTGTAGCGTGAGCTCTAAAGACGCGGGTATCCCTGCTGCCTTGATCAGACCCTCACCTCCAGCCAGGATTTCTCTCCAGGAATGTCCAATATCGTCATGTTCCTCCTGAGCTCTACACATCTTAAGAGTCCAAGTAACAACAGCAAATGTGGCGGCGTTGGTCGGGAATGCACGGATAAGGGCGGAGTTGAGGCCTCGGAACAAGGCACCGAACCCCTCCGAGGCAATGCTGGTCTTGGCACAGTGCATGATGCCCTTGTACTTGGCCATGCCATTGATCCCATCAGCCTGTAACACACAATTTAATTTCTTGGGCAAGTCATCTTTAAATGTCTTAATGTTTTAATATGTTAGTAATATTGATGACCAATTAATTCTTCTATTTCCTTTTATGGAATAAGAATGTTTTTTTAACCTTAATATAGAGTGCACACAGCATATTTATTATATGGTTGTCTGTTTCCCCCTATTCAGGATGTAATTTTTAAATGTTTCACTTTATTCAAAAGTTAATGGAAGGTAAAAGGTTAGATATAATAAGATGTGAAACAGTAGGTTCTCTGCAAACCTGAATCAGTGATAAGTCCAGACACCATGCATGTCAACAGGAAGACAAGAAAGAGTGGCACCCCCAGAATGCAAACACAATACACTACCAGCAAAACTCGATTATCTTACCTGAATTCTGGATTTGATGAAGTCAATAGGGTAGGTGAAGACCCAAGAGGCAGCGCCAGCAAGGCCTCCAGCAAACAGTACAGCGAGGGGTGACACGGAGCCATCACTGCTAGCCAACGAGCGGCTGAGGTACTCGTAGGTGAAGAAGTACGAGGCAAATCCTGGCACCTACCACCATAATGTTAGTATCAATACTCGCCCCTCAAGATATTATTAATTGTTTCAGATTATCTTAATAATAATGCGATGGCACTTACAACCGAGATGACTTTCAATTGAGAAGCCTATTATTTATTGTATATATGATTATAATTTGTCATTTAATTATCCTGTTCCAAGTACAGTACAGTGTTCAAGTGTAAGATTATTCTCTGCAGTAGTGACAGTGAACCTAAATAATTCCACATTATAATTAATTGTGGATGGAGAGTAAATGTGAATAACAAAGATTTCTACAAAGGACTAACATCTCTGACGACAGTGATGAGTTGTCCTCTGAAGACCCCTCGCCAGCCTTCTGTGGTGCAAATCTTCTTCAAGCAGTCTAAGGGGCTGCTGTAGCTGGCACAGTTGGTGATGGTGTTGTGGGAAGACGCAGCGGTAGACAGGCTCTTGATGGCTGCACCGGAAGCCTCTGTCTGCAACTGGACGCGTGTTTTAACCAGCTCCATTGGAGACGACACGAACGCCTGGAAGAAGCCTGCCGTGGCCCCGCACAGGACCTGTGACCTGTAAGAGAGACGATGACTGTAATTCCTAGTGGCGAGACTCAAACTCCTTAATCAGTACCTTTAGTGATGTCAATATAGTGATGTCAATAATTTCAACTGGCCTATAAATTTGTACAGTAATGAAACCTGAGGTCTAAACTGAATACTATAACAAATTAACTTAACACACAGGTACATACAGTAAGTCCTTGTATAACGTCGGCCCGTTTAACGTTGGTTCTGTACTACAGTATGTCGATAATCTTTAGATACCTAAAATTTGATTAACGTCCCAATGACTCAGTACAATTTTGTTTTGCATCGTCACGGACTACTTTTTATGGCGCATCGCCCTCTCTTCTGGCCGCGCTACGCTTTCTCGGCTTGACTGCTACCTCTCACTCGCTGAACATCACAGCGTCCCCAAGCGATGCCAAGCCAGTCTAAGTTACGACTTCACATCATTCATGTGTGCTTAAGTGCTTTTGCTCTAAAAACTGTACTCTGGCCATTGGAAATAGCTTCCAAGCAACCATCAAGTGCTACTGATGCTAGTGTTGTGAAGAAGCAACATAAGACCACTACTCTTGCTACGAAAATGGATGTATTAACCCGTTTTGAAAAAGGGGAACGTGCTGTGTACATAACTGCTGTGCTAGGTCTAACCCCCACAACGGTGTGTACTATCTTGACCAACACTGACAAGATTAAGGTTAGTGCTGGAAGCGGCACTACTCTGAGTGCAACTAAGACAACTCATACTAGAAGCACTGTGATAGAAAAAGTGGAAAAGATGCTGGCTATGTGAATGGAGGACCAGAATCAACGCAATGCACCTGTGAGCCTTTGGTTATCCAGCATAAGGCTAGATGCTTGTTTGACACCATGAAGGAAACACAGGGTGAAGGATCGAAGGAAGAGACCTTTACGGCCAGCCGAGGCTGGTTTCAACTATTTAAGCGTCGTTATAACTTCCACAACCTAAAGATGACTGGTGAAGCTGATAGTTTAGATACGGTTGGTGCCGAAATATTCCCGCCCAAATTCAAACAGATTATCCAGGAAGGGGGCTACTCATCGAAGCAAATCTTCAATGTGGATGAGACTGGTCTCTTTTGGAAGAGAATACCTGAAAGGACCTATGTCTCCAAGGAGGAGAAAGAGCGCCAGGTTTTAAAGCGGCAAAAAACTGCTTGATGCTGCTGCTTGGCGCGAATGCTGCCGGCGACTTCAGGCTGAAGCTGATGTTGATTTCCCGCGCTGCCAACCCACGGGCCCTGAAAGGTTACTCTAAGGATCACCTTCCTGTGATCTACAAGGCAAATACGAAGGCATGGATAACCGGCGCCATATTTAGCCAGTGCTTAAACGTGTATGCCGTCCCTGCAATGAAGGAATACTGTGCCAAGGATAACCTTGACTTCAAAATTCTTCTGATCCTTGACAGTGCTCCAGCTTATCCTTCCAATCTCGACGTCTTGCATGACAGTGTAAAAGTTGTATTCCTGCCTCCCAACACGACAGCACTGATGCAGCCTATGGACCAAGGCGTCATCGCCGCATTCAAGGCGTATTAATTACGCCGTCCTTTGAACCAGCTGCTCAAGGCTACAGATGGAGAAAATCAACCAACAATCCGAGAATATTGGCACGGCTTCAACATTCTTCATGCAATTGACAACATTGGCAAGGCTTGGGAAGAGGTTTCAGAAAGTTTTCCGAATGGTGTGTGGCATAAATTGTGGCCCGAGTGCGTCAACAGTTTTACGGGATTCACAGACTTAGCCCCAGCAGTGAATAGGATGTTCTCAGCTTGGCTAGACAGGCAGGCTTTGATGAGCTGGAATCAGAGGATATTAAGGAAGTCCTGGCAACTCATACAGAAGAGCTAACTAATGAAGATCTGCAACTGCTAACAGAACACAGTCCCGTTGAAGACAACGACGACGATGAAGAAATTGCACAATGAACGCTAACTGCCAAGAGAAAGGCAGAAGCATTCAACATCCAGCAAGGTATGCAAATCCTTATTGATGACGACCCAAACAGAGAACATAGGTCAAAGATTCAACGCAGCATTGATGACAGTCTATTCTGTTACACTGATATCTACAAGGATAAAAAGAAGAGTAGCACCAAGCAGTCAATGCTGGATTCATTTTTTCGCCGCAGTTCAGCAGAAGCAACATCTTTCAACAATTTACAAACGAGGAGGAGCTAACAACAATGGAGGAGGAGCAAACAGCGGCGGAGGAACCCCAGCCAGAACAGGAGGCAACCGCAGAGTCTCAGTGACTCACCACCCTCCTCCTATGCTCCCGCCATACTCCTCCTCTCCCGCCATCCGCCTCCTCCGCTTTACTACCCACAACACTCGCTCTACCGCCTCTGCCAATTGGTGAGTACCAATACTGTACAAGCTTAGTAGTTGTATATGTATGCACCATTTTCTATAGAAATGGCAAAGATTTCTGTACATATAATGTATTTCATGGGGGCAAGGGAGGCTCAGGAACGTAACCCCTGTATTTTATCTATTTCTTATGGGGAAAATGTATCTGCTTAATGTTGTTTCATATAACGTTGCGTTTTTAGGAACGTAACCCCGACGTTAAGCGAGGACTTACTGTACGTGCAACAAAAAGTGTCTCAGAAACTGTGAATAGACTGTTTTTGTTTTTATGGATGTAAGAAATAAGTTGAATGTGCCTTTTATAACACAATGAGCCATTATAAAATAATAGATAACTAAAAAAAGATTTGGCATACCCGTACAGATACCCACAAATTGAGCCCACCTGAGTGAGTCTGGATCCTTCATGTGCTTGGTCATGTTGCCGTGAACCCCGAAGACAATGGCGTTGACGATGGATACTCCTGCCATTGGTGAAGACATACCCTTATACAGCCCACGTACCTGACAACAAGAACCATTGGTTAACATCATGAAAATTCATAGGGAGGGGGGGGGGGTGTAATGATGGGTAGAGGCAAGTCATGAATGATGGACAGTGGTTGAGTCAGTGATGCTGGTGGCATAGGAGGTTGTGAAAGATGCACGCAGCTATGGACATATTTTTCTCATTATCACCAATACACACAGAGGACCCTGCCCTTGGGAAGGACCAGCCACGCCTTGGGAGACTCACCGATTCCTTTTTAATGGTGTCGCTGAGGCAATGCCACGTCCCCCTGTACTGTGGGTTGTGGAAGTCTTGTGTCTGGAGGCGGACCTGAGGGAGGAAACAAAATTCGTGAGACTCACAAACAGGGTAGAGGAGGTGAATTTGACTGATGGAAATATATACGAACAGCAAAGAATGTTTACAGAACAATTACACACAGTGACGAAGCCGCCTTTGCTTCCTATTAGTTCACCTTGCAAAGTAAGGGTTATTTATTCCCACAAGACAGATGAACTGTATATATGCACTATGTCTAAGTTGTTCAAGTTTACTTATGCATAGAAATGTGAGCTGTCATGGTGTGTGAGTGACGAATGAAGGAATGGTGCACTGAAAGAAAGGAGTCGGTGAACTATGTTAGTATGTATAATGTTTAAACTACTGATACAAGAAGCGCGGGAGTGAGAAGCAGTGGGTGCGGATAATATCTGCACCCAAGAAGGGGGGGCGAATTTTGAACTAAACATACAAAGGTATTGTCGAAATACAAGATAATTAATATTTTTCTGTTATATTTTTATTTTTGTTGATGCTGATAGTGATGCTATTATTTTTATTTATTTTGTTATCATTACTATTTTTTCTTTTATGGTTAAAATTGGTTTATTTTGAATAATTTATTAGCCCCGACTGCCCTTCGCCCTTCCCGTCGCCCTTCCCCGTCGCCCTTCGGTATGCCTATATGAGTAGCATGTTTGATTAACTTTCAAGTGAACTTTGACCGAAAAAAAAATATCAGAATAAGAAAAGTAAGCTTCAAATCGTTAGACTTAAACTGGGAGACTGGAAGTGAAAGCCACGTCACTGAGATGGCACACAATCTTAGATTAAATTTGTAGGGAAGAAAGAAGAACGGTGTTTGAGAACGGATGATAATTTTGTAAAAAAGGTGAGCAGTGAGCAGCCGAGAGGATGAAAGGGATTGACAAATACAAGAAACATATGGAGACTCATACAAGCCTTTGGAACAAGTTCAGAAGATACTGTCCTAACACAATCATACAGCAAGATAAAGGGTGGCATCGAAATAGCATGCCAAAGAATACTGAGCTTGAGTGGTAGTGAAGAGAAATCAAATAGCTATTATAAATTAGTGTTTTTCAGGAATGGTTAGTGAGTTTCTTTTGTAGGGATAAATGTTACAAGTTTCGTGTTTACCTGCTGTGTACAGGTATTAACTCTGAGGCCACAACCAAGAAAAATTTAAGTTTCTGTAGAGTTTAGTAAGCCTGCAGGGGGATGGCGACCTGGGTGGTGAAGAAAGAGATCAAGAATAATTGTTTTGGAAGTGGTGTCTGATAATTAAGTTTGTATGTTCTGGTTGTTGTGAAAATACATCACCATCATGTATAAATATACTCGAAGAGCTCCTAATGTTTACGTCAAGTGCATATATATATATATATATATATATATATATATATATATATATATATATATATATATATATATATATATATATATATATATATATATATATATATATATATATATATATATATATATATATTTATTTATTTATTTATATATATATATATTCTCTGATTTCTCAGAAGCCAAGTGAGTCAAGGTGAAAAACCAGCTGGACGGGATTCTTACAGGACGTCATAGCTGGAGACTTAGGACACTGATAAAAGGTAGAACAAAGTTTTTTTTTTTTTTTCTTAACCCAGAAAAGTTCTCGGGGAGGTTGAAGGATACATGATTTGCTACTGTTCAGTATTCACATCAACGAGTGGGCTAGTTTGATCATCTTGGCCTCACCAGTTTTCAAAGATTTTCGTATACCTGATCTTCGCCCAACTTTGATGCCGGTTCTCGAAATTTACTGAAGTAGCAGGCTCTTTTCTCTCTCCCTCTCTGTCATTTATTGATCTTTTTCAAGCAACACGCCTTTACTAAATCACTTTTCATCACCCACTATACGGACTCGCCTCCGCAACTCTCTTGGGAGTACAAAACAACTTATAGCATAGAAGAAATGCAGTGAAATCAGTATGAACAGCAGGGAGCTCTTCGACATTCTTGAGGCTTTCATATATATATATATATATATATATATATATATATATATATATATATATATATATATATATATATATATATATATATATATATATATATATATATATATTTATTTATTTATTTATTTTTATTTTTTTAAACACCCGGACCTGTGTCTACTGCGCACTTCGGGCTGACCGTCTGAGCCGGACTGGTTGGCTGGCAAATTAAACCGGCCAAGGGTGACTTTCAGGTAAAGGGATATGGTACTGTACCTCTAGCATAGTAACCTCAAGTCAATGGTGACTGATTCTTGTAATGCGTTACCTAAAATATTCTGGGTTGAAAAAGTGGGATATCACGAAAATTCACCATTAACCTTTTCCACATAACACTGGAGGAAAGCGTCAGGCGTGTGTCGCCTTATCTTAATCTTTATCTCTATTTTCATGGATCCAGTGTTTATTTAATACCGGAGTACCGAAGAAAACCTGCCAAGTTCGGTAGCGACACTGGAAAACCCCTCTCACATCCGACCCAAGAGAAAAAAATCTCTGGGAAAAGAAATTCGTCTCTTGCAGTCAGTGAGGGCGACCAATTTTGGCATCAATCTGAGATACGAAATGTACTTGTAATGATGGCAAGATGTGTGGATGTGTGACGATCTTTTGTGGTAGCCATATTATGATAATGATAGAAAACTTCCATTGTACAAATATCTCACTTTAGATAAATCACCCGAGTTTCGTGCGACTCATAACAGATAATTAAATCAGTTTCCAAAAATCTCTGAGTGAATATTGTAAACAAACTGAGGGTGGTCTTCACTTGAATAAAGTGAGATGTCCGATTATTTTGCCACGCTGGCAACAATAAACCGAGAAGATTAATTTTCAAGAAAACAAAACAAAACTGCTGCAATCATCTATTGACGCTCGGAGCACCTGTCAATACAGTACACGCGTACTGTCACGCCCTGGAAAACAGTTCTCCCAAACACGTATTTGACTGGTACTGAGAGTATATAAACATTTCCTCTCAAACATTAACATTTAAGGAAGCTGAACTGTCAACACACTGCTAAGGTACTGTACATTAATAACACATCCCATTGTATTTTACCTTATATATATATATATATATATATATAGAGTACTACTAGTTGATAGAAACTGAATTACTTTCCAAAGCGCCAAGATCACCTTTTACTTAATGTGTGCGCATGTATCTAAAATTATAGTACAATACTTTTTTTTTAAATAGTGTATCATTTTACCTGTTCCATCAGTCAACCAGAAGCTACTATTATATTCTTTCGTCAGGCTAGACCTACGTATTGTCATCTAGCTGACTACAGGCGTCTAGCATTTTCTTGTGGCATAATAAGATATCGTGTCCAGTAAGCTGTAATTATGTCACTTACCGCATCCTTTCAACCCGCTGCAAACAAATCAGCATGTGAAAAACGGATAAAGTCAATACTTGTAAGATATTTTACATTGATGTGTTTGGGTGGTAAATTTTTACCTAAATTCAATAAGCTCACTCTCCACAGGTATTTTATTTACAACCAACGCATTCTACCCATTGCATTTAGGCGCGGTGATACGGACTGTTATGTAATATACATTATATAAGGAAGATGTTACGATAAACATCTACCGTAGGTTTAGTAAATATCTTAATAAATACAACATAAGGCTCAGTTTTCCCCTCTACAAACCAATTAAAGAAAAAAATCATTAAATCTCAAATATGAAAACCTGTGAAAGATGACAGTTAAAATTCGCGATGGAATTTACACCCGTGAAATCCAGACAATCATTGTAATGCACGATACCATGAGTATCTGAACTAAACCTTGAAAGGTGAAACATCCGCTGGGCCTCCCTGCATGTTGCAAGCTGGCAGTAATAAACACTGAGTAAGGTCTCCATAACAAGGAGAGTGCGCACTGCTCAACCTCTCTCTTTTTGTCTTACACAGTGAAGACTTTGCAAACTTGTTCTTATCCCTTTTCACTTTAATGTCTCTGGATTAATAGAAGAAAATAGACTATTCGCTTGAAATTTTTTTGTGGGAGTTATAATTATTATTAATATTGCAGTAACCTTGTGGCAGATCTCTTGTGCAATTCATTTTGACGTTGTGGCACCTGGATCAGTTCAAGTTTAGAAGCTCCTGGATCCTTGCCAAGCTAAGCTTATACTACGTAAGAGGGTATACTCCACGACTAAGCCACGGGCAGCCTGCTCCCCTGATTGGTTGAAAATTGTGGTGTGACTCTTAACTCCACCCACCTAGCTGGTCTGAGCCAATCACAGCCTGAGTTTGAGAACCACATTAAAGTTCATTAGGAAAAACATCATTCACTCGACTAGCGTTCTTTTCTTTACAACAAGTGTTTACTTTTAACCTTATAGATTAATTTGGAATTGTAGAAGATCAGTACAATATCACCCGAACAAGTAACACCCGAAAACGCTGCAACACACCCTACACCGCCACGGAAGGTTACCAACTTGACCCAACATCTGGTCTTAGTTGTGCTGAATTATGTATTACTGTCAAAGTCACCATAATACATACATGCTTATGTATAGATTTGGTGGTGTAAATAATCCATAATGACCCAAATGAGATTGGTAAAAGGAAAGGGGTATCGCATTGGGTGATGTCCTCAGGTATACTGGGTCGCGGGGGAAGCGAGGGAGGTTGGCTGTGACGTAATCGCCTCCTGACTCTCCGTTTTACTTACAAAGAGAACAAGATCTCTCCTTGGAGGAATTGGAAAGTCTATCGACAAATAACTCTACTACAAGGATCAAAGAAACTAACGGCGCCATTGCTCACAAGATAAAAAAAGGTGGCCCCCACAACTCAGATCGTGTGTGATAGTCAACCTCAGGGGCTGTGTTGGGGGACCAAGTATCTAGGTTGTATTTATAGTAGAAACATTTACCCCTTTACTTTGCAATCCCCGAAGTTGTTGTGAAAAACATTAAAGCCTTTCCTTCCTTCTCCCTGAGAGTTTCATGCCAATAAAACTGTTTCGGAGCTCAACTCCCGCCAAGACACGACAACCAAACCTCACCATTAACTGTATGAAGATCCCTGATAGCTTCCCCATACAACGATTTCAAGAAAGTTAAAAACAAAATAGCAAAGAATCTTTTTTTTAGTAAACTCGTCGACACTAGTAGACCTGCCAACGTCATACTGTAGTCACCGAGAGAGATAATCTGTCGGCTCATCAACTTAGAACATAAGAAAATAAGGAGTCTGCAATAGGCCGGCTGGCCTGTGCATGGCAGCTCCTGTCGAGAGTTACTACCACTCACTATCATCCATGGATCTATCCAGCCTCCTTTTGAAACTTTCCAGCGTTCCAGCACTCACTACAAAGTTGCTAAGCTTGTTCCACTCGTCCACCACCCTATTTGTGAACCAGTTCCTTCCTATCTCCCTCCTAAACCTAAACTTATCCAACTTAAATCCGTTGCTACGAGTCCTATCCTGCTCGGATATTATAAGAAATTTATCTATATCCCCTTTATTGATTCCTTTCACCCACTTAAATAATTCTATCATATCTCCCCGCAGTCTTCGTCTTTCTAGGAAATGCAAGTTTAGTTTCTTTAACCTATCCTGATATGGAAGGTTTCTCAGTTCCGGAATCATTTTCGTCATTCTTCGCTGCACCGACTCTAGTGAATTGATATCCATTCTATAATAAGGGCACCAGAACTGAACCGCATAATCGAGATGCGGCCTGACTAGCGCAAGATATAGTTGCAATAAGACCTCTGCACTCTTATTACTTACACTTCTAGATATAAAACCCAATACTCTGTTTGCCTTATTTCGAACATTAACGCACTGTTTTCTAGGCCGTAGGTCCGGGCTTACAAGTACTCCTAGGTCTCTTTCACAAGTCGACTTCTCTAGGTTGATGTTGTTAAGGCTGTATTCATTGACAGTATTTGTTCTTCCAATATTAAGTACGCTGCACTTGCTTCACGTGTAGTGAACCGCGTAGCTGCTTGGAATTTACTGTCTGCAACATAACCGCAGTTCTTGTACATTAATAATTATAATAAAAGATAATAACACGTCCAATGTGTATTGAATGTGAAGCCATAATTATCAACATGACTTATTTATTGAATGTTTAAAAAAATCAAAATGGCAACGTATTATCACTTTTATTAACATCATTACCGGTATTACTGTTAATATCATTATTAATGTCATTATCATTACCGGTGTTATCATTATTATTATCATTGACAAAATAACCTTAGGAAAGATCACAACAACAAAAATTTAAAAACAGGAAGAAACTTATAAATGTGTTTGTATGAGGAGACAGGTGGTTGGTAACTGGGTGTGTGTATGGGGTGAGGAAGGTGAGGGTGTGAGTGAGGTGAGGTATGTGAGGGTGTGTGTGAGGTGAGGTAGGTGAGGGTGTGTGTGTGTGAGGTGTGGGGTCTGGCTGTGTGGAGGTGAGGGAGGGAGAGGTTACAGGAGCTACGCACGCTGACGCTGCACGTAGAAGTGACCTTTGGTTGGTTGAGGAAGTACAGGGTACATTAAGGGGCAAAATAAGGAACATGAAGGGTTAAGCAAGGAACATAAAACGGTAAGGTAGGGTATATTAAAGGGTAAGGCAGGGTACGTTAAGGGATAAAGTAGGGTCCATTAAGGGGTACATTAAAGTAGGGTATATTAACAGGTAAAGTAGGGTACGTTAAGGGGTACATTAAAGAGTAAAGTAGGGTACATGAAGGGATAAAGTAGGGTACGTTAAGAGGTAAAGTAGGGTACATTAAAAAAGTAGGTACGTTAAGGGGCAAAGTAGGGTACGTTAAGGGGTACATTAAAGAGTAAAGTAGGGTACGTTAAGGGGTACATTAAAGAGTAAAGTAGGGTACGTTAAGGGGCAAAGTAGGGTACGTTAAGGGGTAAAGTAGGGTACATTAAAAAAGTAGGGTACGTTAAGGGGTACATTAAAGAGTAAAGTAGGGTACGTTAAGGGGCAAAGTAGGGTACGTTAAGGGGTAAAGTAGGGTACATTAAAAAAGTAGGGTACGTTAAGGGGTACATTAAAGGGTAAAGTAGGGAACATGAAGGGGTAAAATAAGGTACATGAAGGGGTAAATTAGGGTACGTTAAGGGGTAAAGTAGCGTACATTTTAAGAGGTACAGTAGGTACAAGGGGGTACAAAACTGTTTGGGACTTGGCTCCACTCATCCAACTTTCCCCGGGAAGAGGTGCTGTACTGCACTGTATACTCTCACCCAGCTGGTGGTGCCGAGGACGACAACTCGCCCAAGTAATTGACCAACACACATGAAGGCAAACACGGGTTCCATTTTGGCACAGTTATAATTAGTGTTTAATTGACGTTTTGTATGTAAAATTCATGAAAATACAAAACAGATGCGCTGTAAAGGTTTAAGTTTTGGGTTTCTATTGATTACTTAAATTCTAAAGACGAGTGGGTAGTGGCTATCACTCGCTTATATTGAAAATAGTTCTTAAGTACATATTATCTGTGTTCTTTACAAAGGAAGTAAATAATCGGCATACAAGTTTAGCAGCAGGTAGACCTGTCATAACTAGGTGTACCTTAGGATTTGGGTGTGGTTCGTGGTGGCCTCCGAAAGGTAGCTGGAACATCACTGGCCACGTACTGTACAGTGGCAGCCATGTTAGTTGGATGTAACAAATTAATGTGAGTTACCTTATAATCTTAGGTCGTGAATATATCAGGGTATATGTAGGGATATGTTTCCTGTTAATTATATGTCTTAATAGTGGGTTTCAAGCCTTTTGTAGCCAAAGTAATGATCCTCTAGTAGATTTGATTTACCTTGAGCAACATGTGACAAAGGCACAACGATGTTTTGCTTATCTATATACAGCATATAAAGCATATTCGGAATTCGTCTCCCCATGAGAAGAGAACACTGATATCTTCCCCATATAGAAGAGTACTCTTACAAGAACTCGCTGGCCTGTTACGATAAATATTCCCCATCAAATAATTTTACAATTACAAGTAATTTCTGTGGTAAACATTACCTGATGTTTATATAAAGAACACAAAGTCTTCGAGACAAGATATCCTGAGTTTCATTAAGGCTCCAACTTTCGCTCTTGTTCAGAGGGGCAGCAGGCAACTCGTTCCAATCAGCACTGCATTTCGTCTGACGTTTACTTTTTATATAAGTTTTTACGTAAGCTTGTTGTCAATTTCCTGTTGATTTTATGCAAGATAAACTTAACTGTGTTTATGTGTTTAGCTGACTTACTGCCAGGCAGCCAAACAGTAGACATGAGTACTCTGCTGATTAGAGTGAGTTACCTACTCTTTGCACTACCATATTCATCCTCTTTGGGTAGTAATGCACTTATTCATTAATAGCTCAGTTAGACAGTTGACTCATGAAATTTTAATTACTTTTCAATAACAAGGATAGTCCGTGGAATAAAAGAATAACGTGAGTCAGGTTCAGTTAGCAATAGCTGGGAGCCTGAGGGATGGCTCTTAGCAAATGAGGAGATAACTTGTAATTGATAAAATATTATAACTTGTCCAGACGGGAAGAGGGTGTTAGTGCAAGCTAAGTACTGTATAATAGGTTGGGTATCTTGCTTACCTTCACTGTGTCGAAGGGGTGACCCACGGAGACGCCCGCACAACCTGCATGAAATAAAAGCTTGTTAATTGTGAGTGTTACTGAGCACGCGCGTGCGCGCACACACTGATGCACACAGAGAAGTGCAGTACACTACAGTACTGCAATATGCATAATGTTACACATTTCCTATAGACATCAACTATCTCTACATAATGCATGGGTGCTGGAGATTGGCCAGAGAACCACAGGTAACATCATGCTAGAGCGACAAAAACACGCCAGACTTAAACTCAGGGTTAAAATACAAGGACGTCCTGGAATTAGTATTCATCTCAGGCTGAGGCTCCCCACGATACCAATTAACTCCCCAGTGGTTATGTAAGTGTGCAGAGAGAGAGAGAAATAGTTTTGGTATCACCAGATCGGTGCTGCTAGCTGCGAGACAACTGTTCAATTTGATATCATGGCCTTCTCCCATCGGAATCTCGCAGTGTTTTCCTACTAATTTACTCGTATAATCTCTTTTGTAAGGACTGAATACATTTCTTTTTCTGGAGTTAAATAAGAAGCGTGTTTTATCTCTTACCCCGCCGTTTCCCTTGCTTCATTTACAGTTAAGAGGCCGTTACGTAATGTAAACTAGGAAGGTCAGGCGTGGAGAGGTGAACTCTTGGAGGAGTTAATACATTCTAGCTCACGACTGTATGGCTGCATTTCATGAACTGCCAGGCTTCTCCGGGATTGTTTCGTATTAACGTGGCCTTGTAAGTTAAAATTTACCTTGGCTTTATTGTGGTGGCTTATTGGGTGTTTCCTTATGCGTGTAAGACTATACTAAATTTGCTAGATGTTAGTTGTTTTCAAGAAGAACGTTCTTATTTAAGTTATTTTCGTCGTATGGTCAGACTATTCCACTGGTCTGTGGGTTTGTTATAGGTCCTCCACAGTCAAGATGTGTGTGCAAACCTTATGTAAGACTTACTAAGTATGGAAGTGATGGTAGTGTTCAGTTTGTCCTTCCTAAGATGCTCCTTGACCCATACACTCCCTAAGTACCCGGCAGCTAGGCTTTGTGTATATCACTTAAATCATGCACTTTTGATAACTTTCTTTTTCATCCCTTCTTCGACAACAACCAATTATAAAGTTTTTTTCAGATTAACCATGGGTAGTGTTCTTCACATTAAGGAGATTTTCGTATACGTCTGGGTAAGGGTTTAACTTCCGTGAGGGATGACCATTTACGGGTTTGATTAGGCGTTTGTTAATTGCACTTCGGTGTGTGTGTATATATATAGTAATAGTTAGTTGCGTTTTCCCTCAAACATTTACCAACCATAGACTTAAAAAGATGACAACCGTCCATAAGGTAACGTAACTTACATAATTATACTTGAACAAGAAACCCCAATATAAGAAACATAAGAAAATAAGGAGTCTGCAATAGGCCGGTTGGCCTGTGCATGGCAGCTCCTGTCGAGAGTTACTACCACTCTCTATGTAGCCTCCTTTTGAAACTTTCCAGAGTTCCCGCACTTACTACAAAGTTGCTAAGCTTGTTCCACTCGTCCACCACCCTATTTGTGAACCAGTTTCTTCCTATCTCCCTCCTAAACCTAAACTTATCCAACTTGAATCCGTTGCTCAGAGTCCTATCCTGCTCGGATATTATAAGAACTTTATCTATATCCCCTTTATTGATTCCTTTCACCCACTTAAATACTTCTATCATATCTCCCCGCACTCTTCGTCTTTCTAGGGAATGCAAGTTAAGTTTCTTTAACCTATCCTGATATGGAAGGTTTCTAAGTCCCGGACAGGAGTGGTAGTAACGTCAGTATGAGAGACAGGGTGGTTACAAATGTAAAAAGGACGGGATGTCAGGGAAGGGAAGGACAGGGACCACAACAGGAAAGATTACAGCGACGGTATCTGGGTGAGAGGGCACGAGGGAAAGTTGGGATAGTAGCTGCGATAAGAGTGATGGTAACAGGGAGAGGCAGGTCTGGGTGAGGAGTGGTGGCGGGAAGGGGATTATGCTGCACAAGATTCCTCACCACCCTGTTGGTTTGTTCACCACACCACAGGGATAACCTCTCCCTTCCATATAAGACCAATAAAGCATGATAGACAAGTTAAAGACTGATACTAGGCAGTAAGACAGATGCTGACGGGGAGCAACATCAACATTGCTGTGAGATAACCAATTAAAAATAAGTTCCTTCATAGTACCCCTGTACAGAGGTAAGATGGACTCAAGATCTACAACCACACCTCATCCTGCAATGTCTACCAACTATGGTTATGTATTGACCTAAGAAAAATGCTACTAGTATATGCTAATATGCTAATCCTCTGTAATACGTTTCGCAGATTTTTCCTCACGTTCACCAAGATAAGTTTTATATAAAACAATATTGGGGTACAGTTATTTAGGAAGACAAATGTTAATCACATCAATGGTTCTGCTAATGTGTTAATATACGATGAGAATGATTGAGAAACTAAAATTGTCAGAAACTGTAGCGAAGAGCGAGACTCGACACGAGACTAATGGCTTAGCTTAGATAAACAAAAAAGGTACAGGTGACAGCTAAAACTTAAGCAAACACCATTGAAACCAAAGCAGTGATGTAGGAAAGACGGAAATAATTTTACTGTAGTTGACTAAAAATAAAAAGACGTATTGCAACGACATACAAAGAATGTTTGCTCTCATGTACCGAGTCATGATTATATATGAATGCACTGCTGTACCCGTACTACTGAGGGTCGTTCTTTGATTTAAAATATTTTCAATTATTTTGCTGACAAATACTGGCTCAAGAGTGAAAACAATGACGCACTTCCCACGTATTATTGACCTTAATGAAAACTTCCGTTATGGATCTTGGTTAAATAACAAATGGCTTGGTTTACATTTTGTTGGAGAACATGTATGTATATGTATATTTGTGTGTGTGTAATCGCAGGCTCTTTGAAACAAGTATTTTTCCACTGTGCTGGGCTGCATCTATTGGCAGAACATGTATCCTATAGTCCGTTCTTTTGGAGTTTCGGCGAAAATTAGTTTTCCATATTTGTACCACATTAATAACTATGTAACATGCGACTTATTTCCGAACGCTTTCAATTACGTGGTTCATGCCAGTTTTCAAAATCGTCCAAGCTTTTGGGGGATGTGTGGGGAGGAGTGATGTTTCTGAGAAATTTTATGAAACTCTGTAAATTAAGGATTGGCTCCAAGATGACGCTCGCAATTTCATAATATATTGCGAAACGCATTCAAGGATGGGGTGGGTGGTGGTCCAGGACACACACAAGTGGAGAATATCGATGGTGGCGCCTCGAACAAGAGCAGGTTCTGCGTGGCAGGTTTTGTTCAGCGGGCCTTCAGCCACACCAGTTTAAGCCCACCGGCTTTTATTTATTTTTTCTAACAAGTTGCTGCATTGCACTAAAGTTCGTTTACGATAAATAAGTTACTGACGTCAAATGTAACAAAAACGAAATGTCCCTAAACTTGCTTAATTAGAGACTTTTTCTATGACGGGGAGGTGACCATGATGACGCAGGCAGTGATGCTGTCGACACTTAGATTAGAGAATCCCAAGTACAGGAGAAGTGAGGGTTAGTAATGTGATAATGGTAGGTGTTTATGCCTTATAGCTAAAAGAGTTGGGAGGAGAGATGCGTGCAGGAAGGAGTACCATTGTTGGAACGTGCGTGGAGAAAATGACGAGGGAGGCGCATGTTGTTGGTATGTGTGGTGGTTCTGGAATAAAGAAGGTAAACAAAATGTTTTGACTGACAGAGGCATGGATGATGGTGTGAACATTGTCGGAACATAGAGACTTAAAGTAAAAGAAAAATAAAGAAACGAATAATATTACTTGAACATAAGAAGGAATGTAGGGTGAAAGCTGTATCACGCGTATGATCTCCCGCTCTAGACTGAGGGCTGTCCAGGAGGGTTGATAAGGACTTAGGATTTACCCCCGACCAAAGGTATGAAGGGAAACATTTGAGAAGAATGGTGAGACCGAATACAGGGAAAAATTTGTTTTCTTTTAAGTTCATGTAAACTATATCTGTTTAAAGGATACTGTTGTGATGAAAACGAGGATGGCTGAAAGTTGAGTTACTTGTGAATGATAACTTATTATTCGAGATTCTGAAATATCAAGGTAGGTTAGCACGTCTCTAGTGCGTGATGGGCTTGTGGTCAGGGCCGAGAGGTTGTGCTGGGTCTGGGTGGTGCCGAGGCGAATATAGCGACAACAGAAATTTATATAAAGGTTCATTTCGACCATACCGTACATGATCTTATTGTGACTTTACATTGATGAAAAGCGGTGATTGAATGACATACAAAACAAAGAGGACACACAATGTTGAAAGTTGTTGCGCTCAGCTGGTCTTGATAAACAACCACAAGGAAGTGCGCGTGACGTAATGCAAAGCTCCTTACTTGACCAGCCTAGAAATTAATAATTCTCCGCCAGTTAGTGATTGTCTGAAAAAGTTACTTATAGAGGTGAGGCGCAGCTTAATTTAGTCATAAATTTGTATTTTATTTTATTTTAGTTTCGTCTTCCTGGGGCATCAAGTGAATTTTGTAAGCTGTATTACCGAAAATAAAATGTTCTCAGTTTGTAAGTCAGTAACCAAGTCGCCTCTAAACCTGCCCGAGTAACTAAGCACAAGCAGTGTTCAGCATCACGTGACCAGCGCCTTGTGGAAATTTCCAGAGTGGTTGCTGCTCACTCCTCTGCCAACAGCAACACACCGGTTACACAACTTTAACCGACCTCCTGGTATGACTGCACAAGAACAGGGGTGGGGCCTGTCAGTTGCTACGCAGCAAACACACACACTAACACAACATATTTATCATTGTCGTGAATGCCGTTCTACAGCTGTTTTGTCTCCAAGCTGTTTTCCCGGTGATCCTGATGTCTATCAAACTGCCGCTTGTTTCCCATCGAGTCCGCGTAAACGGACCACATTCTCAAGTCTTGGTATATAAAGACGTCGAGGTTAAACAAGTAGAGTACAGACG